ACATATCGAGGGGCTGCCACCCACACGACCCAACCAGGGCCGGGGACAAACTGCAACAGAGTACGTGCCCTTAGCGGGAACCGAACCCGGGTCTCTCTGGACCACAGGCCAACACTCTAACTGCTGAGCCAAACCGGCCAGGGCTACACTTTTCAGTTTTGAACAGATACACATTTTTAATTATAAAGTGATCAGTTGTTCTGAAGTTCAGCATATTTGTAGAGATAGCTAGAAGAGAATGAGAAGATGAGGAGAACCAATGCTGGATAATCTCCTGTATCAGACATTGTATTAGAAGATTTTTTATTACGTTTAAATTTAATCTGTATAGATTTGTGAAGTGAGTGTACTGAAATTATGTGAATTGGGTTTTTACAGGGCGTGAAACAGATTCAAGGAGCAGCAGTACTGTTCTCAAGGCCACATCCATCTAACTCGTTAATCAGTTACACTTATCTATACATCTGAGGCTCAATCATACAAGGTATATAAAATATGACTCAGAGTTGTACCACCTGAGAGATGAGGAAACTGGGTATTTTTTGTTCTTTTTTACACTTAATGATGGCTGCTTCCAGTTAAATTAAATGGCCCACACCAGGGATAAGTATATTCTTGCAGTAAATTAAGTCTTCAGCCTAAAAGTTGCAGAATCTTTTTTTTTTTTTCATAATAAGCATCGGCTCATGCAGGAACAATGGGAACCACGGGGATGTGAATAGAGCATCATCAGCATTGGCTACAGAAGGGTAATTTGGAGAAGAAAAGAAAACCATCTGAACCAAACTTTCAAACTGACTTATCAGAATTAAGGCAGACTTTAATCTCTATTTCTCTGACACATGTGTCATAATTATCTGTTCCTTATAAACCCGGGAAGAAAAAACACGGATATTATTTAACAACTTTCTAAATTTTCCAGTAGCCTAACATTTTGTTGTAACTCCTAAAAGAATGAAAAGGAGGAAAACGTAATTTAAAATGTGGCAGATAAAAAAAACAAAATTAATTTTTAGGAATATATTTTAAATATCAAAAATTACAACAGATGTAAATTAATTTTAAAAAACCACTCTGGATTATGTAAAGGGCACCGTAGTTTTTTTAATAGGGAGGGAAAGAAAAGAGAGCAAGGCTGGAAATATATAATGTATGCACTACTCAACATGTCAAATTAGGTCCCTGCACACAGTCAAGTTGTTTCTTCTCTAGGTTGGTGACATGAGTGGTAATTACCCTCCCTGAGACCCTGTTCCCCTGAGAGTTCCATGCCTGTACAGTTTTCCCCTTGTTCTTATTCATTAGGCGGTGAAATTTCCATCATGGCTCTGCATAACATTATTTTAAAAGGACCAGACTCTGAGCAGAACTCATTTGGTCATCATTTATTGAAGTGAATGCTAAAACTTGTAGTATACATCAGCTTCTCCCTAGACTGAGTATTTGGAGTGAATCTGCAACTGTGGACAGGGAAAACCCCTTAAGACAAATCGATTAAGTGAAATCCTTGATAAGGTCTTTTGTATATCTACCCTCATTTGCTATTCACAGATACAATTCTGCAAAATACGTGGACGACATCATTTTATTTCCTCTATATCACAAATAAGAAAACTGAGATCAACAGATAATTTTCAGAAAGCAGAAAAATCCGTGGTAGATGTGATGCTTAAACCCAGACTTCCTAGCTCTGCATTAACGATCTTTTCTTCATGCTTCAGGGACCTTGGAAGCTTTTGATAGTAGAGGGGAGAGAATTTCTCCTGTATTATTTATACATTCTCCTGGGGCTGAGTTTCTGATTTCAGACTCACAGTCAGGATTGCCTTTCCCTTCTTTTCAAGAGCAAGGTAAGCCCTTCTATTTAATATACACTTGTAGTGAAATTTGTAATTGATGCAGAAACAGTAGGGAAGCTACATCTTCTAGGAGGTTTTGCGCTTGTATCTGGTTGTTTGAACACTTTTTCTGAACCATTAGCTTAGGTATATGATTCCAATGCAAAACATTTTAATCAGCAGAGAGTAAAGTAATACTAATGAAATTTCATGCTGCTTTCCTAAAGAGAATAACAAAAATGTATGATGGATGATACTCATTGAATAGTTGGTAAATGCTTCTGTTTACTATGTGTCAGCTTGTCACTGAAGGGGACAGCTAACCAAACAAGGTAAAATGACACTTCTTTAGACTCCAGAAGGATCATCATGAAGCTACCAAAATCCTGACTCTATTTTCACTATCATTTCCCCACAATCTTATCCTTTTATTATTCACTCATCTAGAAAATCTGACAATGCAGTGATTAAGTGCATAAGCATTGAGATCAGTTAGACATGGGTTTTCATCTTAACTATTTCATACAAGGTGGGGAATTTTTAAAAGGTAGACGACCTCTTGAATCCTCCATTTCCTTAACTGTAAATTAGATAGTGTGTGTGTACACAATCTAATCCCTTCCCTTTCTCCTCTGCAATTTATTGATCATCTATCTATCTATTATCATCAGGGTCATCTAATATCTATGTATCTGTTTCTCCATCTATGAGACAAACTACATATAATTAGTAATTTTAAATTGTTACTAACCTTAGGAGATTTATTGATATATTGTGATATTTTAATATTTTATATTATTATGTGGGTGAGATGTTGACAAATACAAATAGTTCAAAATGCAGACATGTAAAATTATGTGTTTAGGAGCCTGGAGGAAGATGGTACAGAATAGTAGTTACCAAAGAATGGATATTTCTTTTTAAAAAAAATTTATTTATTTATTTTTGTTACAGATGTTCTTTTTCCCCCACTGATTCCCCTCTCCCCCTCCCTCCCCGCTCTGTCCCCATCTTTGTTGTCCATGTCCATTGTTCATGCATACATGCATATAAGTTCTATGGTTTATCTCTCCCCCGCCACCTCCTCTTCTGGGGATTGTCAGTCTGTACCCCACTTCCACGTCTCTGGGACTACAAGAATGGGTATCTTTCAAAAGGCTTCAACTAAAAATACAAAGAGTTTTGCTGTCTCATGAATAGATCTACAGATGAGTATCAACTCTTAGACCACAAATTTACACTCCTCAATACCTCAAAATCTGTGATCCAGCTAAGTGTTGATAGGAATGACAGTAAGGATGACTGTAAGATGAGAAATACTTCAACACAAGCTAAATGTGGATCTCAAGAAAATATTAAGAGAAAGAGGACTTGAAGATCCCTATGTTATCATTCAAAAGGACAACAGAGCAAAAAATATAGGGGAAGGAGAACAAAATATCTGAGTGGGCAGTATGTAGGAAAAGGCAGCTCAGAGATACCATGCTTCGAAACCCACCCACCTGCATGTCACCTGATTTCCCTAAACCAACACACAGACCATGGTTCTACGCTAATGATAATATTATAGCCAATACTCATCAGGCTTGTGCTTAACACTCAAATTGTGCTGTTTTCATGCACCATTTCTTTCAACTCTTACAATAGGTAGGTCTCAACACCACCTTCGTTTTGCGGAAGGATAAAATGAGTGAAATTAAGAAATGAGGAGAAAATCCCAAGATGTTCTAAATTAAATTACCGTGGCCAGAGAGTAAGACTAATAACTGTTGGACTGTTAAAGGCTGTGGCTCACTAACAAACTGCTCACATTCCTTCCATTGCCTAATGGAATTTAGAATTAATTTTCAGATGGCTCTTTCTGTAGATTATCTTAGCCAAGTACCATTTAACTCCAGAAGCCTCTGCTTGTTGTTCACACTTGGGTTTTATTGACTGCTGCCCACAACCAATCCACAGGAGTAGACAGTTCTTTATGCAGACCTTATGCCCATCCCAGAGCTCACCTTCTCCCACCCCTTTGCCTATAGCTAATGTAAATTCTTTCAGGCTACCTCTTTCTTCCCTTTTACCCCTACTTGATGTATATAAAATCCTACAAAACTCTGGGACAAGGGACATGCTGTCTTTTGTACCTAGCCCTGCTACTGAGGGTTCAGACTCCATACTCCAAGACTGGTTTTGTTTTGTTTTGTTTTGTTTTTGTTCTTTTTGGCTAACATTTTGGCTCAGTAAAAACTTACTTACAAAAAGACTTTCAGCCATGAAAGTTAAAGATTTTTATTGTTGTTGCTGTTCAACATAAATTAACACTAGTGTCTTCCAGGTAGTATATGGTAGAGCTGATATATGGATACATACACATGTTTTGTCAGAGCCAAAGCTTTTAGTCCCAATGCTACACCTTCTCTTCAGAATTGGCTTTGTTAGTTGTACATGCCCCTAATGCTGTATTTAGCCCACTGCATCTACTATTTACTTGTGTATTACTCAACTATGCTATGCTATGAATCAATTTCAGAACAAGAGAGACAATTAAATAAGTTGAATGAAATTAAATTTAATTCAACTTTGTTAATACCATTTAGGATGAGAACCACTCTGACTGAGTATAAAGCTTGGCTTGGTCCATTAATTCTGTGTAACCTTGAATAAATTACTCAATCTCTTTGTTGCCAAATTATTAGATATATAAATAGAAAAAATAATTGATCAATCTAATTAATTGATGAGAGGATTAATTGAATATACACATATAAAGCTCCTGGCATGTGAGCACTGTAGTGTAAGTATAAGCTGTTAGAAAACTCAAAAGACCTGATTTAGGAGATGAATTCATTCCAGGTGTGTGAACTTGGATAACTCACTTTATTCGTGTACAAAATCAAGAAGTTGAGAAGGTGATCTGAAAAGACCCTTCCTTTTCAAAAGTCTATTTCTGTATACATAGCTATTGCTAAATTGAGTTGTCATGCCCATGCTTCAGAAATAAAGAATATTGAAAAACAAATTATTTATCTAATAAAATAATGCTTCTACATTTCATTTCTATGCAACTGTTTTCAGAGTTTTGTTGTTGTTGTTGTTTTGTTTGTTTGTTTTGCTGATCAATATGTTCCTTTACTTCTCTTTGCAATAGAGCATCTCATAAATTCTCAAATCACATCTATGGAGAACAATACAAAGGTGAGAGAATTCATTCTTCTAGGACTAACCAATGCCCCAGAACTGCAGGTCCCCCTCTTTATAATATTCACCCTCATCTACCTCAACACTGCGATTGGCAACCTGGGGATGATCATGTTGATCCTGCTGGACTCTCGTCTCCACACTCCTATGTACTTTTTCCTTAGTAATCTGTCTCTGGTGGATTTTTGTTACTCTTCAACCATCACTCCAAAGATGATGGCTGGGTTTATAACAGGAGACATGGTCATCTCCTACAATGCTTGTGCTGCTCAGATGTTCTTTTTTATAGTCTTTGCCACCGTGGAAAGTTACCTCTTGGCCTCCATGGCTTATGACCGCTATACAGCAGTGTGCAAACCCCTGCATTACACCACCACCATGACGACAGGGGTGTGTGCTTGTATGGCCATAGGCTGCTATATCCTTGGCTTTTTGAATGCTTCTATTAATGTTGGAGACACATTCAATCTCCCTTTTTGTATGTCCAATGTAATCCATCACTTTTTCTGTGATGTTCCAGCAGTCATGACTCTGACTTGCTCTGGTAAACGTATCAGTGAACTGATTCTTGTTTTTATTTCAAGTTTTAATGTCTTTCTTGCACTTTTTGTTATCTTTATTTCCTACCTGTTCATATTTCTTACCATTTCGAAGATGCACTCAAGAAAGAGATACAAGAAGGCTTTATCTACCTGTGCTTCTCACTTTGTTACAGTTTTCATATTTTATGGGACTGTCATCACTATGTACTTAAAACCAAGTTCCAGTCATTCCATGGACACAGACAGAATTGCATCTGTGTTCTATACTATGGTCATCCCCATGCTGAACCCTGCGGTCTACAGCCTGAGGAACAAAGAGGTCAAGAGTGCATTTAAGAAAGTTGTTGAGAAAGCTAAATTGTCTCTGTTTTGTCGTAATGTATAGAATCTACAAAGTTATTTCATCCTTCTTAGATTTCCTTCATGCAATAACAAATATTAATGGCCATTTGGTATATTAGAACAAACATTTGTCTGATGTCATTTATTTCTTCAGTTTAAGAATAGTCCCAATCATTTAAAATGCAGGGAAAAATATATAGTGGCTTTAAATAAAGTTTATTTAATGAAGTACATGTTTTTGTTGGCACATTTTATCCAGAGCTAAATAATTATAACAGCTTAATAAATTAATGCTTCAGTCATGACTGAGTGATTTGGGAAGAAAAAGCATGTGCATGTGAAAGTTTTCAAAGGTAAATAGCCATATTATAGTAAAAGAGATATGGGTAAGTCATGTTTACCTCAATCTTTTAAGTACCAGTTCTTCACATTTTGTTTTTAAATTTGCATTGAAGTTAATAATAATTTTATTTTTAAATGGTTAATTCCACTCATTCATTTGTACTTTTGTTTAGCTATGTCATATCTTATCACTTTCCTACCATTCATCACATTTTATTCTCACTGGTTTCTAGCAATACTAGACAGATCCAATCTCCCCCTTGTCTCAGCTTTGTATTTGCTGTTTCATATACATAGCATATTTCCACACTCATTTCGATTGCTAATTAAATGTTACCTACTCAAGGAGGTTGTAGAAACCTGCCATGAACTGCTTTATAAAACAGTCACTCCCATCCTGTGGATCCCTCCCCCTCAAGCCTATTCTGTTCTTCATAGTTATCAACATTTAGCTCTTGAGTTTGTTTATTTACCTGTTCATGTATTTCCCTTAACATGAGTGGAAAATCCCTTGGAACATTGGCTTAATCTGGTTTTTCACTAGAAATAAAGCTTTGAGCCTTGATTTAAAAATAATTTTAATAAGCATCAAAACAACTCCAGAAGTTCCAAACTATATGGCTGGAAGTAAGCTGCAAAAACTCTATATGCTTCAAGGGGAGAATACCACCAATATTCACTTGATAATGACTCCAACTTCTTGCAGGAAATTAGTAGTCTCCATAAATTTCCATTCTAACTTTGAATAGTTCTTCCTCTTGAAACTCTCCAAATGGTTTGCCTATCCACTTGCAGCCAACCAGCGACTGCCAAAGGTACCTAAAGACTACTCAGAATATCTTTCCTGCTTTCAAAAAAAACTTATCTTACTGAAATGCTTGCCAATCATACAATGACTTATTATTTATTTATGTTACTCAATAAACTTACTCTCTTTTCTAATACCCTTGAACTCCACTTAAATGAATGGGACTGAAGATGGTTTTCTTTGTTGCAAGTTTATGAACAATCTTTGTTAATTTTGTGTGGCATGTAGTTTTGTGTTTGATATGCTTAAGAAGTGATAATGAAGAATAATGAATAAGAAAGAAAAGTATTCAAATGGTTAGAACAAGAGCCCAAGGAGAACAGTAAAAAATTGAGTTATACCTTGAGAAAAAAATAAAGTCCCATAAATAAATATCTCCCATCATCAGTTTTGATGGGCCTTTTAATGTCAATTCAACAAGATTTCTAAACCGGCTAGTGTGTCTTTCTTTACTATCTGTTATGAATGAGATGTTTACTTTTTTTCTGTAAATCTCTGCCCTGGTCCAACATTATTTTTACTGGGTATGCATGTAGAACGAACTAAGTTTCCTATTTGGTTCTTAAGTTGCTGGACATAAAGAGCCATATCTAGACTAGACTGAGAGGACCATTTAACCTCTTCAATAGACTGGATGGGAAACTTCTATAATGATTAATTGAATTTTAGGTTGTCTCCTTAGTGGCGGTGAATAATATGACCTCTGTACGAAGGAAATGTGAAATGGATACTTGCCAATCAAAGCATCACAGTGGAAAAGACAGGTTAATTGTTTTCCAAGCTATTTCCTTTTTACTCGTGAACACACAGCTAGGTTCAATTTCTCACCCTTCATGAAGTTCATTGAGGCCATATGATTGTGTTCTTGTCAACTGCATGTAAGTCATGAGCTTCCAGGTTTCTCATGACATGTTCCAGGTGATCCTCCACTCATTTTTATTCTTTGTCATCAGCTGGACAGAGAGGATTCGAGCCACAAGAATGGCAAAACCACTAAATAGAAAAAAAAACTATATCACTGAATCACTGCATGATTACCCAAAAAGTTAAATATAGAGTTATTATATATGACCCAGCAATTTCACTTCTAGGTATACATTTAAGAGAACTGAAAACATATGTTTAGACAAAAATTTGTATATGAATATTCATAGCAGCATTATCTACAATTTCTAAAAGATCAAAAGACCCCAAATATCCATCAACTGATGAATCAAATGTGGCATATCCATACAACAAAGTATTATTCAGCCACAAAAAGGAATAAAGTACTGGAACATGTTCCATCAAAGAATCTCAGAAACATGCTAAGTGAAAGAAGCCAGGCATCAAAAGATAAATATTGCATAAGGGCAGGCGTAGTGTTTGAACACCACTATTTTTGCCCCTAGGATATATCATTTCTTTATTAATGGTAAATCATAATATTTAAATTTATTTCTCTCTTGATATGTGCTAGACATCGTGCTCAACTTTGTTATATGTCACCTTATTTATCCTTTAGGATTCTCCTATGAGGAATATATAATACTGTGCTCCTTTTTATAGGTGATACACTCAAGTTGGAGAGATTGAACTTGACCAAGTTCACCCTACAACAGATGACAGAACCAGAATTTGTAGGCAGGCCACATGACCGCACAGCTCAAACTTGTAACAACTGCATTTGACTGCACTGATAAAGATAATTCTGCCTGGGTGCTCAAGGTCAGAGATGACTACACAGAGGAAAGAATGGATCCATCCTCTTAGTTCTAAAAATAAGAAAAAGCATCCTCTCAAATATTCCTAGACTAGTTCTGTAGTGTCAAGACTAATGGGTATATTTTGTTTTTAAAATTTTCTGTGGAGAATTTTTAGCTTTTAAGAAAGAACTAGGTGGACATAGACAACCATGCAGGGGGTGGGGAGAAAGAATGCAGAGGATGGTGTCTAGGGGAGTAAAAGGAGAAACAACTGTAACAAAAATAAATATTTAAAAAAATAAGTACTAGGTATCAGAAAGTTTGCATGAGGTCCTGACATCACCTAAACCGGATTCTAGTGAGTTTTCATTATTGTCACCTGACTTGCTGTAGTACTGCTGATTTGAGGGATAGAGGCTCTTAGCTCTAAGCTTCCATTCCCCCTCCCATGTCTTCATACACACTCTCAGCTGAAATACATACAAACATTATCCTCTGATATCTCTAGTCAGGTGCAGGTTAGGAGGGTCAATCTGGGATTGGGAGCCTCCTGAGATACCCGCTGGTATGATACTAAATGCTTCCCCCGAGATTTGCTGCTTGAAAAGGTTGTTGTCTCTGCCTTGATATTTGCAAGAGCACATGGCCAAGTTATTGACCACTACACAGAGCTCCACAGGTGGGGAAGGAGTGTCCCTGGATGCAGACTTCTGGTCTACAATCTATACTCCCTGCTTTGTACCTTGACTTTTCTGTTCCTAGGACAAAGGTGAGTATCAAGAAAACATACAATCATAGCCAATTTAAATGGGAAAGGACTCTAAAAGGTCCAACAGTTTTTATTTTGCAAATGAGCAAAATAAAGCCCAGAAATATTAAATGGCTAGATCATAGACACCCTGTTAACTAGTCATCTTGTGACTCCCAGTCCACCACCCTTCTCTCTCTACCATGCTGCTCTACAGCATCAAAATTTCAATGCTCATTACCATCAAATGTCTTATACAAATGTTTAGGGTGATGGTTAGACTCCAAAGGGAGATTGCACCTCCTAATTTTTTTTGTTTAGACTGTGCCATGGTTGGAGTTGTGCAAATACCATCTCTCTTTCTGAATTTCAGAGGTTACAGAATTTCAACATCTATTTGGGTATTTCACATGTAGCTATTTTCTTTAGGAACATCAAAGTTGGAACAGTCAATATTGTTGGCTAAATATCTTACAATAAGATATTTAGAAGAAATGAGATAGACTATGAAAGTAATGGCCTAGATTGCCTGATTTTTAAAATTTTAGTATCTTTTTTAAAAAATGTATTACATCAAACTAAAAAGCTTCTGCACAGCAAAGGAAACCATCAACAAAATGAAAAGGAAATCCATTGTATGGGAGAACATATTTGCCAATTATACATCTGATAAAGGGTTCATTTCCAAAATATAAAAAATGTTAGTATCTTTTATGCTTGTCAAAGAATTGTCACATCAGAGCAAGATAGAAGTCAATGAGGGAGATAGAGGATCTTGTGAATTAGCCTCTTAGTTAACTCCTTGTGAATTAATTTCTGACCAAGTGGCAGACCTACATCCAGCTGATTATCCATAGAACTAGAATCAAAACTGGCTTTGTATTTATAGTACAATGCTATACATACCACACCACATCTGAATTTCTGGATCAAAAGGAGCTGTTTTATGTCCTTTTGTGTCTACAAGTAGTATGGATAAGAAATTTAGTTGATACAGTGGCCATTCTTGTTGCATGAGGAGAACACAGAAATTAACTTTTGCCAAAAATAAATCTAATCAGAGTCACATGTTTATGCATTTGGAGCAACTGTGGTCACTCTAACAAACACAGACATGTAAGAATTGATAAACCAGTCTCAGGAGGAAGTAACTTCATTGTCAGTAGGGTGTTCTGGCATATTCTGGGTACTTCTATGATCGTTTTGTAACACTTTACACACACTTTCATGTGGACACTTATCACTTTTGGGGTTAATTTGTAGATTTGCTTGTTTCTACTCCCTTAAAAATTTCAGGAATCATGTAATATCAGCTCCTGGTACAGAGCTGGTTTATGTGCAAAACTAGCTAGTCATCTTGTGAGGAGAATAAGAAGAAGAAACTAACATTTCATGTGCCAGGCATTGTGTTAGTAGGGCTCCATATGTCATTCAATGTCATATTTTCAGCTCTGTATAAT